AAAAAAACAAAGCTTATGAAGTAAGATGGGGGCAGCGGTTATAATTTAAACTTATTGAACTCAGTAAAAACTGAAAGGACTACCGATGTTGTAAATCAGGAACAACAGCAGAAGTTGCAGGAAAAGCTCAGCAAGTCTGGCAGCATCTGTGAAGAAAAAAATCAGAGTTAACGTTTTGGGTCTGGTGACCTAAACGGTTCTGCGGAAGGGTCACTGGACCCAAAACATTAACTCTGATTTTTTCTTCACAGATGCTGCCAGACCTGCTGAGGTTTTCCTGCAACTTCTGCTGCTGTTGTTGTTGTTGTTGAACTCAGTGTTGGGTCCAGAAAGCTGTAGAGTGCGGTGTCAAAAGAGAAGGTGTTGTTCCTCAAGCTTGCAATGAGCTTCATTGGAACATTTTAGCAGGCCATGGACAGAAAGGTTAGCATGGGAACAATGTGGCAAACTAAAATGACAAGCAAATGTATTTTGGAATCATTCTTACGAACTTAATGATGCACCAGTCTGCATTTAATCTCACCCTATGTGAAATCACAGAGGTGTTACTGTGAAGTTAGACCCCATTCCACCTGTTGTGGCTGCACCAGCTTTTCAAACGAGCATCACTAGCAAACTACTGCCACTGTTCAATCATACTCATCCATTACCCACTTGAATGCTTCAACTGAACCTTCCTCTGCTATTGCTGCTAAATCAACCTCCAAAGTGGAGTCTAACTTCAGCATAGGTGATAGTTGAATATCCTCTTGTTTTAAACTTTATAACTAAAAGTTGGCATAAGAACTTATTTCACACAGAAGAGGAAATAATTAGAAAGCCACATAATGAATTACAATTGCGAACATTTCTGATGGACCAATTACCCTGAATGTTACTTTATCTCTATGTCATTTCAAATTAACCCATAACACATTTCTTTAGGAGTTTAATTGATTTTAGAACCATTTTAATGCCATTCTAATAATGGAATTTCAGATTATTCTTGGCTGCTAATCTCAAAAGAATAGCCTGAAGGTATTAATGTAGGTAGCTGTGAACTCAACAGTGCATTCTAAACACATCCAAACGCAGAATAATACCAGTGCTGATTTTGCTTTTCATTCTGATAAATTTTGAGGATTTTTATTCATGCTATAAAAGTAATACTAGGCTACAAATTACTTGTATGTTTGCTCTAGACTTCTGACCATTAATTCAAATTTGATTTAACCTGTATTTTTTCTATGGGCTTTTAGTATATCTGCCCTATAAGGGAACTTACCTCTAGAAAAATGAGAAAGATCAGTACTGCTGCAGGGTAATTTAAGAAGGTATGAAAACCATTTTAGAGCAAGAATAGCATAAACCATGACCATGCCAAACATATGAGGTTTCCATAGCATCAAAGGTTTAATGTCTTCTCAGTAGTAATTTTATAGGCCCAAACAAAAGAAAGGCTGGAGTAGTTGTTTAAAACTGGGTAAGAAGCACAAAGAACTGACTCAAGCACTAAAGAAACTGGTGACCTCAATTTTGCATAAGTTTTAGTGATTTCTCAAGGTCAACCAAGTTACAAGGAAGCAATCACAATTTAAACAAATGCACTATTGGAAATATTTGTCACATTACCAGCTTCCTTGCTCCCCATGTGTTGTTTGTTATATAACAACTCCATGAAATATGCATGAAGTTCCACAATACCCTTCACAAGCTCTCTTCAGCATTGCACAATATCAATGATAAAAATGGAAGACCTGTTGATCCTCCCATTAAAGAAAGTCACATGTAAGAGTGTTTCAGGCACTGTCTTTTCATAACACGGAACAGAGTCCACAAGCTATGACAAAAACAAAACCATCATAGTTTGATGAATTCTTTGGTACTGGTCTTGTATTCCTTACGAGGCTATATCTGTGAATTCTTGGCTAAGCACAATGGGAAGTCAATGAGAATTGGAAATTCCTAAATGGGGATACTTGCTGTTAATGGATCAGAAAACATCTTGTATAATGATATTCAATTCTAGGTGCTCTGTTGTAATCTACCAGTGCAATAGATCACTAAGTCTTAAAGTCATGATGTTCTGAAAATATTTAGATTTGCTGCAACAGCCTGCAGCATGAATACAGCATGAATAACCCTGCCCCAGTCCAAGAACGTACGAATACCAGTCTACCAACCCCATACCTATATACCTAACTTACACATAACCTAGAAGCACTTAACCAGAAGTCAATTGTTCGGTAACACAGAAGAGATGGTGCCACACAAAGTTGATGTTGCCAAGAAAATGAGGGGATAATCTTTGTTGGTAGGAGGGACAAGGAACATTTGACCTCAGATCTGGGCCTCGCATCTAAATCTCAAATGAGCCAGGCATTTAAAAGAACCAGGGTTGGATTTTCACTTTAGAAACTTAAGTCAGGAGTTGGGAAATTTCCCAATATGATTCCACCTCCTGACACCAATTTCAAAGTTTGTGAATGATAAAAAGCTTCAAAGCATTGTAAACTGTAAGGAAACTTAAGTAAGGCACTGTAGAATGCCATAAGGATGTAAACAAGTTAGTGGATTGAGCATATAGATGGCAGTTGAAAGTCAATGTAGAAGTGTGAGGTGAGACATTTTGGTAGGGAGAACATGGACAGTGAATAAAAGCTAAGGGGTACAATACTTAAGGTGATGCAGCAGGAGAAGGTACCTGGATGTATCTAAGAAAAGATCATTGAAGGTGGCAGGACAAATAGAGAGAGAAGTAACTAAAGCATACAGTATCTTGAGCTACATTAATAGGCGCACAGAGAACTAGAGGAAGGAGGTTATGTTGAAGTTCTAGAACACACTTGTTAAACATCAGTTGGAGTTTTGAATATAGTTTTGACCTTCTTATTCCCGCAACGTTTTTAATGCTGACACAAGGAAATTGGCACATTAATTATTCAGTCTTTCAGTCACTGGTTAGATGGAGCAGCTTAAAGCAAATGGTGGGCAATAATAACTAAATATCCTCCAGATCTTCAATAACAAGGTGTAGAGCTGGATGAACACAGCAGGCCAAGCAGCATCACAGGAGCAGGAAAGCTGACGTTTCGGGCCGAGACCCTTCATCAGAAGTGGGGGAGGGGAAGGGGGTTCTGAAATAAATAGGGAGAGAGGGGGAGGCGGATAGAAGAGGGATAGAGAAGAAGATAGGTGGAGAGGAAACAGACAGGTCAAAGAGGCGGGGATGGAGCCAGTAAAGGTGAGTGTAGGTGGGGAGGTAGGGAGGAGATGGGTCAGTCCAGGGAGGACGGACAGGTCAAGGGGGCAGGATGAGGTTAGTAGGTAGGAGATGGGGGTGCGGCTTGAGGTGGGAGGAGGGGATAGGTGGGAGAAAGAACAGGTTAGGGAGGCGGGGATGAGCTGGGCTGGTTTTGGGATGCGGTAGGGGGAGGGGAGATTTTGAAGCTTGTCCCCGCAATAACGACCAAAAAAGAATCCCCCTCGTCCTCACGTACCACCCCACCAACCTCCGGATCCAACGCATCATCCTCCGACACTTCCACCATCTGCAATCCAACCCCACCACCAAAGACATTTTTCCCTCCCCACCCTTATCTGCTTTCCGCTCCACACTCCCCTGCAGCCCCACCACACCCGGCACTTTTCCCTGCAACCGCAGGAAGTGCTACAGCTGCTCCCACACCTCCTCCCTCACCCCCATCCCAGGCCCCAAGAAGACTTTCCACATCAAGCAGATGTTCTCCTGCACATCTGCTAATGTGGTATACTGCATCCGCTGTTCCCGTTGTGGCCTCCTCTCCATCGGGGAAACCAAGCGGAGGGTTGGGGACCGCTTTGTAGAACACCTACGCTCGGTTCGCAATGAACAACTGCACCTCCCAGTTGCAAACCATTTCAACTCCCCCTCCCATTCCTCAGACAACATGTCCATCCTGGGCCTCCTGCAGTGCCACAATGATGCCACCCGAAGGTTGCAGGAACAGCAACTCATATTCTGCTTGGGAACCCTGCAGCCCAATGGTATCAATGTGGATTTCACAAGCTTCAAAATCTCCCCTCCCCCTACCGCATCCCAAAACCAGCCCAGCTCGTCCCCGCCTCCCTAACCTGTTCTTTCTCCCACCTATCCCCTCCTCCCACCTCAAGCTGCACCCCCATCTCCTATCTACTAACCTCATCCCGCCCCCTTGACCTGTCCGTCCTCCCTGGACTGACCCATCTCCTCCCTACCTCCCCACCTACACTCACCTTTACTGGCTCCATCCCCGCATCTTTGACCTGTCTGTTTCCTCTCCACCTACCTTCTCCTCTATCCATCTTCTATCCGCCTCCCCCTCTCTCCCTATTTATTTCAGAACCCCCTTCCCCTCCCCCACTTCTGATGAAGGGTCTAGGCCCAAAACGTCAGCCTTCCTGCTCCTATGATGCTGCTTGGCCTGCTGTGTTCATCCAGCTCTACACCTTGTTATCTCAGATTCTCCAGCATCTGCAGTTCCTACTATCTCTGATACATCCTCCAGATCTTGATAGCTTTACTGCACAGAGAGAGAGAGATGACCCTTTCTCCAGTACAGTCTAGAGGTTTCTACTGCTATATTGTTCACATACTCTCTGTTCAAATGACCAGGAGCCAAAGGTGTAGTTATGCCGATGACTCCTGGTCTCTACAAGTGGTCCTGATTGCACAATCCAATCAGCAATCTGTCTCCGGTGGAAGCTTATTCTGCACATACCCACGATGCCACGGCATCTTAGATGTTTTCCTCTCGCTGCTAGAACACGGCAACAGTATAAACACAGCTCACAATGAGTTTCAGTAACTTATTTTTTAGCAGCAACACTTACCACAGTTCTTGGTTTAAAACAGCCCTTTACCATTTTGGTCCACAATTCAAAATACAGAATAATAAAAAAAAATGGTGTTTACAATTTATTCGTAGCACTGTAAAAGATACACTGAGTGCAGCAACTCATTGGTATCATTAACATGGGATCAGTATAATGAATCTGCCTACCTGAGGGGACATCCCATGACATGGATATAGAATGGCTGTGTGGTTTTCTGGCGGACCCTGATCTAGGCAAAAATCTTTTGCCTTGTTGTTATGCACCTACGTAAGGAACACAGAAATTAAGAAAACATATGTAGCACTGTTGGAATGAATAATTTAAATGCAGCATAATCAACAAGACTTTGTCAGAAGCAGACACTAGAAATTTAAAGCTCAGGCATTTCCTAGTTCAGGTTTTCTTAAAATGTTCATTGTCTTGTCAATGTTAAGGTGACCACATTAAATAACTATAAAGCCAGAGTACGTCATTAGCATTGCCTCAGAATATATGTGTACAAGTTCACAGTTCCCTGAAAGTAGCAATGCAAGTGGATAAGGTAGACGGGAAGCCGCATGGCATGCTTGCCTTCATTGGGTGGGGCACACAGCGTAAAAATTGGCAAGTCATGTTGCAGCTGTATAGACCTTCAGTAACGCCACATTTGGAATATTGCATGCAGCTCTGGTGTCACACTACTGGAAGGACGCAGAGGCTTTGGAGAGGGTATAGAAAAGGTTTACCAGGATGTTGCCTGATTTGGAGGGTATTGGCTATGAGGAGAACTAGGACAGACTCAGTTTGTTTTCACTTGAACGTTGGAGACTGAGGGATGACCTGATAGAGGTTAACAAAATTATGAGAGATATGGATAGAATGGATAGTTGGAATCTTTTTCCCAAGATAGAAATGTCAATTACTAGGCAACATAGGCTTAAGGTAAAAGGAGGAAAATTTAAAGGAGATGTGGGGCAAATTTTTTTTAAAGAGGGGTAGTAAGTGCTTGGATTGTGCTGTTAGTGGAGTTGGTGGAGGCAGATATAATAGCAATGTTTAAGGGAAATATTGCCATGAATAGGCAGGGAATAGAGGGATATGGACCTCTCAGAGACAAAAGGATTTTAGTTTAGAAAGGCATCATGTGTCGGCGTAGGTGGGCTGAAGGACCATTTCCTGAGCTGTACCGTTCTTTGTTCTTTTGTAAGATTTTTATTATAAAAAATCGAATTGTGTTTTAAATATTTGCGTTGATGTTGGGAAGAGGAGTCAAGGGTAAGGAAAGGAAATGATAAAAGAGCAAAACTGAAATGAAATGAAGCTCAATGTTCAGGCACAAAAGTGCAAAACTGTGCAAAAGTGTTTTAGCCTTTGGTTGATGGATAGTAAAATTATTGTTCAGGCCTCAAAATTATTGAACTTAGTACTGAGTTTTGAAAGCTTCAGTGTTCCCAAGCGGAAAATGAGATGTTGTTCTTCCAGGTTGCGCTGAGCTTTGCTGGAACACTGCAGCAAGCCCTAGACAGATGTTCCTATGCAATACTGCCCTCCTCCACCTGGCTGAGCTCATCCTCACTTTGAACAACTTCTTCTTTAACTCCTCTCAGTTTCTTCAAGTCAAACGTGTGGTCATGGTTACCCATGGGTCCCAGTTATCGCTGTCTCATTGAGGGTAAGTGGAACGTTCCTTGTTCCAGTTATAGATGGGTCCATCTCCAAAACACTTTCTCCAGAATGTTGATGACATCATTGCTGCTGCTTCCTTCTCTCATCCAGAATTGGAAAAAATGATCAATTTCAATTCCAATTTCCACCCTGCTCTCACATTTACCTGGTCCATCTCTGACTCCTCCTTTCCTTTCCTTAGCATCTCTGTTTCCATTTCTGGGGATAGGCTGGCCACTGATATCCACTATAAACCTAGTGACTCCTAGTTACCTGGGCCTATACATCCTCACATCCTGCCTTCTGTAAAGAATCCATTTCATTCTTCCAGTTTCTTCATCTCCATTGCATATGTTCCAATGATGACAACTTTGACAAAGGGACCACCAAAATGGTTACTTTTTTTCCATGTCAATGTCATTCCCAACCACCATGGTTGACAGGGCCCTCAGCTGTGTCTGACCCATGTCCTGCACCTCTGCCCTCACCCCTTCTCTTCCTCCCACAATACCAATTGATTGATTTATTTAGTGTCATTTGTGGCACTAAATACAGTGAAAAGCTTTGCTTACAAGTGGTACAGGCAGATTGTAGTAAGCAAAGGATGTACAGATCAAAAAGACTTAGACAGAGGCATACAGGTTACATTGCCCAGGGCGTGCACAAGGCATGATGAATGTTAGCAAGATCAGCGTTATTTGAGGCGAGAGAGTCCATTTGTCAGTCTAGTAACGGCTGGAAAGAAGCTGTTCCTGAACCTGCTCGTGCGTGTGTTCAGGCTTCTATATCTTCGGCCTGATGGAAGAGGTTGTAGGACATCACTACCATGGTCTTTGATGATGTTGGCCGCCTTTCCGCAGCAGCGAGCCATGTAAATGGAGTCCATGGATGGAAGGTTGGCTTCCATGATGGTCTGGGCTGTGCACATCGCCTTCTGTATTTTTTACAGTCCTGGGCAGAGCAGTTGCCATACCAGGCCGTTATGCACCTGGACAGTTTGCTTTCAATGGTGATCTGTAGAAGTTGGTGAGGGACCTTATGGACATGCCAAATTTCCTGAGCTGCCTGAGGAAGAAGAGGCGTTGTTGTGCCTTCCTGACTGTTACATCTACATGGGATGTTGGTTGTCGGTTATCATCACCACGAGGAACTTGATGCTCTTCACTCTCTCAACCTCAGTTCTGTCTCCCTGGACCTCATTTTTCATCCCACCAGCCTCCACATCCAAAGGATCGTAAACTGCCATTTCCATTGCCTCCAGTGGGATGCCACCACCAGACACATTTCCCTTCCCCTCCCTTGTTAGCATTCCCCAGGGACTAAAACCTCTGGGGCACCTTGGTCCACTCCTCCTTCACTCCCAACACAGGCCCAGGGCACCTTGTCCTGAAATTGAAGAAGGTATAACACCTGCCTGTTTGCTTCCTCCCCCCTCATTATCCAAGTGTCCTGACACACCTTTCAGGTGAAGCAGATTTACCTACATTTCACTCAATTTCATCTATTGCATTCACTGTTCAGAATGCGGTCGCCTCTACACTGGGAAGATGAAACGTAGACTTTGTGGAATATCTATATTCTGTCTGCAAAAGTAACACGAGCTCCCAGTTGCCACTTCAACATGCCATTGTGCTCCCTGGCCAACATTTCTGTCTTGAGCTTGCTGCAGTGAAGCTTATCACAAGCTGGAAGAACAGCATCTCACTTTCCATTTGCAATCCTGTCGCCTTCAGGACTCAATGCTGAGTTCAATCATTTTTGGGCTGAATATCTCCTATATCCTTTATTCTCCCCCACATCCCTGGTCCTATCATCACCTGGGCTGTTTTCATCCATCCCATTTTCACCCACTAATGGTCCCCAATATCAGCTTTTCTTTCTGCCCAGCTCACCATTATTCCTCCCTCTGTCTGCTAACTTGTTGTTCTCTCTCTCTCTGGGTTCCATCTCCATTTGTCACTGACTCGTTTACGCCACAAATCCTCCTACCTCCAACCCCCCGTCTTCAGCATGTATACCACATTTTCCTAGTTATAATCAGTTCTGATGAAGGGTCACTGGGCCTGCAATGTTAACTCCGCTTTCTCTCCACAGATACTGCCAGATCTGCTGAGTTTCTCCAGCAAGATCTGTTTTTGTTTTAGATTTCCAGCATTTATAGTTCTTTGCTTTTTTTTCAGTAAAATGCTGTTCCAAAATAAGAGTACATTATGACCAACAGATAAAGAGAAACAATTAAATACCTTAGAGTGTTAAGTCATTGATTGCCAAGAAACATAATAATAGAATAAATTCTACCCTTGTTTTCCTGAAAATTGCAATCGGATGCTGATTATATCATAGCAACCTTATTTAGATAATGTAGGCTGTTAGTATCTGACCATTTGACAGTCCAACTACCCAAGGAAAGATTATTTTAAATATGGTGGCAGCTGAATCATTGATAATAATGGGAGTGGCAAGTCTATTTTGAAGCCATTAGCACTTTGTTAATGTCTGACTGGGTGCAAATTGATCCCAGTGAGTCTAAGTAGCTGTCACTGTATTTAGGAATGTACAAATTTACCCAAGACAAGGTCGGACTGCAGACTGTTAAATGTTAATTGTTCAAAAATGTGAAATAATCACATTTGTCTCACGTATTATTACTACTGAGACCGTCACTACTTTTCTTTAATGTTTCTACTTTTTTGGTGAAATTGAGAGTTTAGTTGAGGGTTAGTTAATCTTTGAACAGCTGTGTGCTTTGAAAAAGGCATTGTAACAAATATAAATATTTGACCTGATAGAAAACATAATTGCTGATATAACGAACACTAGATGATGATTTGGCACTGATTTGATTTGATTTATTGTAGTCACATGTACCTAAGTACAGTGAACAGCTTTCTTTTGTGAGCAGTACAGGCAGATCATAACAAACAAGGATATACAGATCATAGGGATGCTTAGACAGAGCGGGGAATATAAGGTTACAGTTGCACAGGAGGTGCACAAAGCAAGATCACCATTAACAAGATCAACATTATTTGAGGTTAAACAGATTCATTCAGCAGTCTAAAAAATGACAGGGAAGAAGTTGTTCTTGAACCTAATGGTGCATGTGTTCAAGCTTCTGTATTTTCTGCCTAACGGAAGAGGCTGGAAGAGAACATTACCAGGGTGAGAGGGGTCTTTGATGATGTTGGCAGCCTTTCCATGGCAATGAGAAGTGTAAATGGAGTCCATGGATAGGAAGTTAGATTCTGTGATGGTCTGAGCTATGCAAACAACTTTCTGTAGTTGCTTACAGTCCTGCACAGAAATGGCAGCTGGTTGGATGTTGAGTTGTCAATCAAGGGAGGACTGATGATAACCAGGCAACCAAGAATATTGATTAAAAAAGAATAAAGGAGAAAACCTGTTCTGACTGGCTATTGGCAGCTGCAGAGTGGTTTTGAAAACTTCGGGATTGGCTGATGTTTTTACTCTCTCTAATTCTCTTTCCAGTTAAAGAATTGTTGAATGTCTGTGCATAGGATCCCCAGTCTATAAGAAATCAGTAAATAATTCTGGAAATCTACTGAAATTATATACATTCACAGGTGACTTCAAAATTCAATAGCCATTCATGCCTGTGAACAACTCATAATCTAAGGATTGCATAAAGGCTTGACATCCATTGTTTGAAACTGTTTAACTGAACTGGCAAATTACAAATCTTTTATTTCTCTTTTCAGTTTATCCCTTAACTGTGTCTGTCAGTCAATCTGTGTGTTAGTGAGGTTATGATCAAAGAATATTAGGTTTAAATCATAGATACTACCATGATTGCTGAAATTACAGCATTAGTAACAACTTGTTACTTTTTTTTAAAAAAGCTATGAATTTAGTGCCTAAGATCTGTTATTTTGTAGAGTCTAGCAAGGAACAACTGGACAAATTTTGAGGTCACTGAATATTTAATTTTGTTCTGTTATGAGTTGAGTGATAGTAAGGCTGATTTGATGTGGCTTGTTATCACTGGTTATAACAATATTCTTTTTCAATCAAATGATGTACAAACTGTCACTTATTTGCCAATAAGAGGCTGGTTACAAAAAGACTAGACTGAAAGCCATAAACAAAATATGTTGGAAGCTTCATCTACTTACAACAATATTTGCATTTATTTAAATAAGAAGGCAATAGTTATAGAGTCATAGAGGTCTACAGCATGGAAACAACCCCTTCAGCTCAACTTGCCCATGCTACCCAGTTTTCACAATTAAATTAGTCCCATTTGCCTGCGTTCGGTCCAACAATAAAATAAGTATTCCATTTATCTGAAATCAAGCATGGAAACCATGGGAGTTTGGAATGGAGCAAATTGCAGAAAACTCTATTGAGTAACAGACAGGAAATTCAGGTGAACCATTTGGTGGGTTTCTTGCCTCCTGTTTCACATGGGTTTTGAAAGATTGGTGGCGATGTTCCTTTTGTTTCTTATGTTCTTCACGACACTGTTTTGGGTGGGTGGGGCAAGCCCGATGAATAATGAAAGAATGAGGACTGGAGGAATTAGAATTAGAATTCCTACAGTGTGGGAACAGGCCCTTCGGCCCAACAAGTCCACACCGAACCTCAGAGCATCCCACCCAGATCCATCCCCCTACGACCCACCTAATATACACCCTCTACCTCCCTGAACACTATGGGCAATTTAGCATGGCCAATCTGCCTAACCTGCACATCTTTGGACTGTGGGAGGAAACCAGAGCACCTGGAGGAAACCCACGCAGACACGGGGAGAATGTGCAAACTCCACACAGACAGTCGCCCGAGGCTGGAATCGAACCCAGGTCCCTGGTGCTGTGAGGCAGCAGTGCTAACCACTGTGCCACCTGTGTCTGAAACAAAGTCTTTGATTGCATGCAAAAATAAATCCATTTTATAAAGTTATTACCTCGCCATAAGCCACTGTATTGTTATATCTTCTCATTTCTGGATACACATTGTCCAGATACCACTGGAAATTCTTACACTTAAGGTGCTTTCTCAATGCTACTCTTTCAGAAATGTCACCAATATCGATCCCTGGATTCTGGAAGAGAAAAGTAGCTTCAGAAATTGCATTTGCTCTCTCTGAAAAATCAAACTTCTACATCAAAGAAAAAGAATATGTCCCAGATGAGTAACGTTCTCTGTTCATAAACCTGCAGCATCCCAATTAGCTTATGTACAGTGAATGCTGCTTATAGAAAACTTGGTTATATTTTAATTAGACATTCAATTTTAAAAGTATATCACTGTTTTATACAAGTTTCCGAATTAACATTCAGATGAAGGGTACTTGCTCACATTGACTTGGGAGAGCTTGATTGTCAAGTGTAATCTCCAAAATGAATATCATTGTAAGTTTGTAAAGGTTATTTTCAATTGCTATTTTACATTTCACTAAAATGTGATGGCAACTTCACTGCTAAAAAGTAGTATAATTTGTATGTTGTGTATAATAGAATATGTGATATTAAGCACGACTCAAAAGTCCATAAAACTGAGGTATAGGAGCAGAATTAGGCCATTTGGCCCATCGAGTCAGCTCCACTGTTCGATCACAGTTGATATGTTTCTCAACTCCATTCTTCTGTCTTCTCTCCGTATCCTTTGATTCCCTTTCTAATCGAGAACCTATCTATCTTAAATACATTTAGTGACCTTGCCTCCACAGCACTCCGACACAATGAGTTCCACAGATTAACCACCATTTGTCTGAAAAAATTCCTCCTTATCTCAGTACACTCTGAGGTTGTGCCCTCAGTTTCTAGTCTCTCCTACGAGTGGAAATATCTTCTCTGCATCCATCCTATCCAGGCCTCTGTGTTTTGTAAGTCTGAATGAGATCTTCCCTCTTCCTCCTAAACCACATTTAGTAGAGTCCCAGAGTCCTCAACTGCTCCTCATATGACAAGCCTCGGGATCATTCCTGTAAACCTACTCCGGCCAGCACATGTTTTCTGAGAAACAGGGCCCAAAACTACTCACGATGCTTCAAATGTGGTCTAACTAGAGCCTTATACAGTCTCAGCAGTACATTGCTCTTGTGTTCTAGCCTCTTCAAATGAATGCTAACAATGTATTTGCCTTCCTAACTGCCAACTGAA